CAGACCCCCGAAACGCCGGCTTCGTGTGGATGAGAGGCTGGTTTGGTGAAAAATTTGTGCGTTTAGGCCAGGGTTCGTCTTCGTGTGGACGGGGCCTCAGAGTACAGCCGCTGCTCCTCCACATCGAGAGGAGCCAGTTGAAGTGGCTAGGCCATCTAGTTAGGATGCATCCTGGACGGTTCTGCGGTGAGGTGTTCCGGGAACATCCCATGGTGAGGAGAACCAGGACCCACTGGAGGTACTATGTTTCTCGGCTGGCCTGGGAAGGCATTGGATTCCCTCGGAGGAGCTGGACCAAGTGGGGAGAGGGACATCTGGGTCTCTCTGCTGAAGCTGCTACCCCCCGCAACCCGACCCCGGATAAGCGGAAGAGGATGGATGGATGGGTGGATGGAAAGTCCAACTACCCAGATGAATGCGATTAATATTCAGTGCACTGATCGGGATGTGGTTTGTATTAAATTACTCTGATGTGTAACTTGCTTATTTATGGAGTCGGCAATCTTTTGCCACGCTGTTTGATGTATTTCATGACGCCACCATGTTTGACTTTTGAGACTGTTTTTTCTTCTTCACATTTCTGCAGGATTGGTTTTTGTTTTTGTTTTTATTTGTTTTTGATTGGTCTGCTACCTTGAACCAACCCTTAATACGTGTGTGCTCAAAGATTCATGATCAGTTCAAGCTGGACTGAGTCGGCAAGTTTATAACCAGCTTTGTGGTCCTGTTGATCCTGATTGCTCTTATTTTTGAGCTATTTAAACTGGATAGACTGGAAGTAATTCCACTACGTTGAGTTCGCTTCATGGTATAGCCCTCGGCACCTTTAGTTATCTAACAAGCTTAAGGTACCTGTAAAGCAAATTCCTTTTCACAAGTTTAAAAACAATTTTTGCTAGGTGTTGGCTTCTGCAAGTAAATGGGTAAAATGGCCCTTGGGGGCCCTGAAAGTGCTATTTGGGGAAACTCAACTATCCAACCAGCGCATGCGCCTTAGGAACTGTCATTAACACTGTCACTCCCCTGTAAAACCTGCCCATATTTGACTCACTCGTGCTATTACTCAACACCCGCAGCGAAAGGTTTCACCCGACCACCATCACCCTCATGTAGTTGAGGATAAAGGGCTCCTTCTGACCTCAGCGCTCTCTATCAGTGACATGTTCTAATCTGATCCATCTCCAGGTCTGCAAAAACAGTTGTCCAAGAGCAATATATTATCAAACAGGGTTACCTAACAGGGCACTATGGGTTTGAATAACATAGTTTCATAACAAGGGGAAAACTCATATTGTATCTGTATTGACCCTCATCATATATAAAGGTTGATGTAATACAGCTCCTGAACTCTATCTTCTCCCTTCTTTTTTTCAGCAATGCTGAAACGCTATTCACTTGCATTTTGTTGTTGACTCCTGTCCAATCCAACAAATCAAGTATGCATGCAGCAACAGTGGGGAGCAAAAAGTGCCTTTTAAATTGACAAAGCCTCCAGGAGAACCTGGCTCAGTTTCAGCAGCCTTCTGCCATGGCCGACTGGGGTTCAATGAGATAGATGCAGACTTTTAAAAATATGCAGATACACAAAAGGTAACTGTTAACTATAGCTCCCCAGGCAGGCAGGCGAGCTTTGAGTCAGCTCCCACGTCAAAGGATAAAATTGGAGCACATACAGTAAGTCACAGTAAAAGAAACATGATAACACTGAAAAAATAGGCCCAACTCCAACATCTATAAACAAAGATGTTTATGGCAGCAGCACAGCTGATATTTAAATCCAAGATGGAATCATAGTCATACAGGAGCAGACAAGATGAAGCTACTCTGACAAGGAAAAGCAAAGAGATGGTCCTCCAGCAGCCTAAACAAATAGCAGCATCAATGTATTGAAAATGACCCAGAAAAACCTGATTATTTTGGATGAGGTTTGAGAACCTAAAGCCAAGGTTTCAAGTAAGGAAGGCGTTTATATTAGTGCAGCAGTTTAAATCAGTCCAGTTTATATACTTGGTGCCGATTCAAAACGGGTGTAATTTTAAGGCTTTTCAAAACACAAATGGGTTACATGAAACACTAATTAGGGTTTGTGTGGCACCCTTTCTTTTTTTTTCTTTCTTTTTTTAAGGGTGTGGCACCCTTTATATTTCGGGACAGTTTAAACCCTGTCCCCGATGATGTTCTTAATTTGATCTAAAGACATGGCTCCTGATTGTATTAATGAATCAACAAACACATGCACGTATTTACGGACACTAATACAGGAAAAAATAAAAAATAAATAACTACAAAAACTATCTTCTGGCTTATACATCAGTCTATCTCTACTTTTGAGGTATTCAAGGAAGAAAAGAGAATTACCAAAGGTTCTATGCTTGGCCCATTTTTATTCTGCAAAATATTCTTGAACAAATATTTTGAATTAAACTTTTCATTTTTGCAGGAAACTGAACAAAAGTTTTAAGTGCTTGTTACTTTGCATACATTTGATTTCTATTCTATTGAAATGTTAACGCAATTTTTTTGTAGTGTGTTTGTTTCTTCTGCATTTTGTATATTTTGGCTGTCTGTAGTGGATCTAATAGAAATCGACATACCTTATTTTTAAGCTGCAAAATAATAAAGCCAAATTAATCATGGCAGGTTCCTCAATTCTTTGTAGATAGGTTTTAAGATAGATATATATTTTTGTAGCGTTTGAGCAAGAAATAAAATGAGCAAGGAAAAAAAACAGGATTAGAACTCAAAAGCTTATTTCCTCATTTAAAATATAAATGTTTTACAAGTGGAGATAGACTAAATCATGTTTTGGGCTTTACAGACGCCAGGTTTTTCTTGAAAAGGGTTGTTTTAAAAGCCGTTTAAATTAATCTAAATAATTCCTTTATAATGTAGTCATATTTGTGGATTTATATCTAATTAAGCCAAATACAATATAGTCTAATTTAAAAGCTAAAGTAGTAAAAAAAATATCTTTCTAAGGAAGCCAAGTTGGCTGAATTTTATCTTTAAACATTTTCGCAGTTCCTCCTTCTGAAGTAGCTTTTAGCAACAATGGAGAAGAACCACTCCTCTACAAACCAGGAGAAACTTCCAGAAGAACCTGCCTCTGTTACAAGCAGCCATCTGCTCCAAATGCACAGGAGCTGAAAATAAAGAAAGAAGCACTGCTTCCATCTATTAGACCCACAGTTAGACGTAAGAGATGCTTAACAAAACAGTCTTGACGAGATCAGCACAAATAGAGGTAGAAAAGATCCGTTTTTGGGTTGACTTTGATCTGATCACCTTCAGCCAGGGGCAGATCCGTTAAACCTGATCCAAATGAAATTATCTTAGAACATTTTTCCTCAAGTTGATTTTTCTTTTTTGTACACATATCCCATAACTCTTTAAACGTTATGACTCATGTAATTCAAGATGCCAGTAAGTTACACTGGAACTAAAGTTTTGCTTTTCTGACGTCTGATCGGTGCTGCTGGCCCGTTAGTTACTACCATGCAGACCAAGCCTGGATCTTTGGATCCTCCCTTCCATTTTCAGTTTCACGCTGGCCTCTGCCGGCATGCCCCCCCCCCGTTTGCCTTGTGCACAATGTTGTTACAAGGCCCCGCATGTCAGCTTTAATGATACAGTGTCTCTGTCTGGCTCCCTGCTTCTCCGATAGAGGCTGTTTAAACTGTTTCCTGAGCTGAGGATGGATCCCATGACAACTCCATAAATATTTACAAGAACCAGCCATCCCGCTTTGCTTGAGGAGCACTTGTCCGCAGGCTATCTCTATGATGTTTTTCTTCTTTTTTTTCTGTTCCTTTGTTGTCTTTCACTACTGTAGGATGTGAAGCTTTGATTATTTTTCTTTGGATGTTGTCGACGTCTCTTTATTTTGTTTGTACTCAACTGTTTTTACAAGTCCTGCTTCTGTCTTTGCTCATCAGTATTATCGTATGAGAGGAATGTCAGGATGTCAGTTTTCTAGTATGTTTAAAAAGTAGGTCCAGGTCTGCACCAAATCTGATGTGGAAAATTGTGAAAATTATCCAGAACTAGATCATGATGGATTAAATTATAAAATAAAGGCAATATTGCTTAAAATCTTTTTTTCAAACCCATTCTGATTGAAGAATTATAATAAAAAGTACCAAACAATATGCATTACTTTCAAAAACTAGCTTTTATTTCAATCATCCTCTCTGGGAGGTGACCTTAATTTAAAGTGAATTAAAAATCGAAGCTGTTAAACATGCTTCTAAACACTGTTTACTTTGGTGGTATCACACAGTAACCAAGTTGATCAGTTAAGAGTACACAGCTAGAAATAAAAAAATAATTAACTGATGTTACTCTGAGCTAGTGGTGGAAATAACCCGATTTTCCAAAAAAAATAAATAAATCTTCATAAACAGAAAATTCACCCAGCTCTAATAAAGTATGTCCTTTCATTCACTGGTTCACAATATTTCCGTTTTTCAGTTGTTCTGCTTTTTTTTTTATTCACAAAAGAAATGTTACAGCTACAGGCCTTTGCAGTATTTTATCCCTTATGATCCTTTTTACTTTTTTTTTTTTTTTTTTTTTTTTTTTACAAAAAAAAACCTCGAAGTAGTTTATTGAGATATTGTGTTAAAATCCAGCATAAAGTAATACACAGTTTAGGAAAAAATAAAGAATATTCTGTTCTTATTATTTGCTATAAATCTGAAAAGTGTGGCACGGTTTTGTATTTCACCCACACGCATACTCTAAGATATTTTGATTGCCGCTCTGATTGTATGTTTAACATCTTTGTTCTGCTGTCAGGTGAACTTCCTCCCCAGTATCGACTGTTTGATTATCAGATTTCCTTCCAGCAATCATGGTAGATGTCATTTTTTTTAGAGTGCCACAGAAGATGAAAAATAAGAAATAAAGCAATTGCACACCAGATGTATCTGGAGGAATAATTGTATTCCTTTTTATAATTATCTGCTACTTTGTGTTGGTTGGTCTTATATTAAAATGTGTTAAAGTTCAAGGGGTGTGAATATTTTTGCTTTGATTGAGTAGCATCAAGACAAGAGTTTAAACATAGATATTAATTGGATTGTTTTGTTGATCTCGGATGTTTTTCTCTTTTCATGATTAAATAAACGATCAGGTTATCATCAATTAATTGGGTGTGTGTCGTTGTCAGATGATGGGAAGATCTTCCATGGCAGCGGAGTTGGAGATGCTTTTGGCCCCCGCTGCTTCAAAGGGGACATCATGGGCTGCGGCATCATGTTCCCACGGGACTACAGCCTGGATAGAGAAGGTTCAGATACAATAAAATATATATACATATATTTTAATTTTTTTTCTACCTGTTGTTAGAAAATCACGAGTCAACCCTCAGTTATTTAACCCCATATTGTGCACAGCTGATGTGGAGGACTGGGATCGACTGGAGGGCCATCCCAGTCAACAGGGCATCCAGAATGTTCTGTATCTTAACGGTGAAGAGGAGGAAGAGGATGACGAGGAAGGGGAAGAGATCCCTCAGGAACAGCAGGGGAGGAAGGTGACGGTGAGTTAGGCTTTATAGCAAGGAAACACACTATTACAAAAATATACAACATGCAATCATGTTGGTTAATGTTGAGATAATATCTCTTGCCATTTTAAAACATAAAGTTAAAGTATTATTGTTCTGCTTTCGTTTCAAAGCAGACATAAATTGTAGGAAAATGTTTAAATTCCATATTGAACACAAGGTTTTAGTGTAAAGGTTGCTTCTATCAAATAGTTTAACCCTGACGATGGTTCAACTTAGCTGTAGCTTCTTATCATATTTGAAATCTATTTATCCCTCACTTTTAATGCTACATCAAACAACAAATATCATTAAATTCATAAGGGGGACAGACAGCCTGAATGCAGGACGCTTTACCAGTGGTTCTTTGAGATATTTGGTTCTTTCCCTTGACATGACTTGGCAGTAGGCCTGGGCAATTAATTATATAAAATAATTAATTACATGTGTAATATAATCACAATTTAACAAAATGCAATTTTCCAAGAGTAGAGACACTTTAAGTGTTAATTTAGTACCTATACATTTAAAAACATAGTGGAGAATTTTTGGAATTTTGTAAAAGACCTGCCCTCTCCACTTAAAAAAAAAAAATGCATATTTACAACTCTGTACCTTCTCCCGAGAGGGAACTCCTATTAAACACATGCGAGAGCATGCTGGAGCCCATTTCTCCTCGTGCACGCTCTGTTTAAAAGTTGATGTTTGCATCACTGATACAAAGCTTACTTTCCAAAACAAGATTTGCAATTTTTCCACTATGTCAGACTCACCACCGGTAAGTGAAAATGGGGACGAGCACTTAGGACGGCCTTACGTAAACATATCACCAGAATTATTGACAATTAGGTGGACCACTTATTCTGACGATCCACCCCGAAATAGAAAGTCCTCCACTATACCTTTAACAAAGGCAGAACACTAACTTTCTCACTTCAGCCCATTGGGTGGTGATAATTCACTAAAATAAGTTTTCCACCAGACAAGAGGGAAGGAGATGCAGAAAATGTGAGATCTATGCATGAAAGTTAAACGGTAACAATAGACTTAGAACATCCAGGATTTCAAGATCATGAAATGTCTACATTATTGTGATTAATGCAAAAGGAAAATCAAACAGAATTTGCTACAATGAATGAAAAAAATTGCAGTTTTGATTTTTGGCAAAATTGTTCAGCCCTCTTTTGCAGCTTTACTTGATTTGCAAACTTGCATCTAAATGGCCCACACCTCTTTTGCAACGACTTTAACATTTCAGACCAAAGTTGAGATGTTTGGCCATAAATTGTGTCACCAATCATAGCTAAATATAGGAGTGGATAAGACAAAAAAATCCTGGACATTAATGTATCTTTGAATCAAATGTGAAGCCATCTTTTCAAAATCTGAAGCTTGGTGTAAATTGAACAATGATCCGAGACACAGCTGCAAATTTACAACAGAACGGCTGAAATAAAAAGCTAATAATCAACAATCAGCAATGATTGTTTAAAATCCATGCCTGTCTGAAAAGCTGTTCTTAGTCCTTAAGAGAGCGGTGGAGAAACAGATGTACCCTAATGAACTGAAGCAGCGTCACCAAAACAATGAATGTTGTGGAGACAATATCAGCATCCATCTCCAGAACCGGCTGCTGGAGCAACAGGAAGGAACCCTGAAAACCATTGGCTCTGCCTCTCATTGTAGAGTTTGTTCTGAGAAACACAAGCAGGCACATGTTCTGAGGAGGAAAGGTTCTGATCCAAGTCGAGTCTTATCTTTTATGGCTTCTACTTGTTAAAAAATCTGGTTTAATTTTATGTAAGTCAGCCTTCACTGAAATTCAAACTCAGAACTGAAAATTTTTAAATATGCAAAGTTACTTTTTCAGGGGACCTAAGAAATCACCATAGTGATTAAAATCAGTCTCAAAAGTGATTCATTTATATTTAGAAAAACTATAAAAAAGTAATAGAGAGAGAAATCATTTCACTTACATTATTTTCTATAACAACATAAAAAAATCAGAACAATAAAAAAAAACCATCTGCATATATAAGGATATGTAATTTATACAAACTTCACAATTATGTCTATTGTATAAATAAATAAAAAGTTTAGGCCTCAAAACTGGACCCTGTAGGACTCCATATTTAATGTGTTTTAGGTGAAATATTGGATTAAGTATATGAACTGTTTTTGTTTGTATTTGCTTGTCAGACAATAGCTCAACCATTTATAGACATCATCTATTATTTCATAAGCCAGAACATTTGAAAGTAACAAATTATGTTTAAAGTCCCTAAAACATTTGTTAAATTCATGAACATTAAGCATTAAGATACTATCAGTTGTTGTTTTTGTACCACCAATTTTTTTAATAGATTATTTAAAATCTTCTTTATTATTATTTTAAGCATCATATTTTAAGCATTTATTAGTTATTTTAAGCATCCATTAACCATAGTTTAAATGTTATCTGAGGTTAACTTGAGGTTCAGATATTTAGTCTGCAAACACGCTGCCAGGGTCGTAAAGCTCTGCTTTAGAAAACAGGAAAAGCTAAAGCATCCTGGAAGGACGGACTTACCTCTTAGAGACCCTTAAGTCAGCGTCATCGAATCAGTGAGGGATTAATAAAAAAGACAAATGTTCCAAATGTTATTTTTACCCTGCATGAAGTTATCGAATAACAGTTTCTCTCTACTTCCACAAAAGTTTAAAAAACAATCCACTGGACTTGGTTTCCAAGGTTTGAAGATGTTTCGCATCCCGTCCAGGAAGCTTTCTCAATTTAAATGTCTGGATCCGCAGTGAGTTTGAGGCTTTATATAGACAAAGCCTTGTATTGCTTGGAAACATGCAAATTGAAACTGACGAGCGGGTCGTTTGGTTCCATTGTTAGCCTGTAATATCAGAAACCTGTCTATGATTGTGCAAGGTCAGTCGTTAAAGGCAGGATTGTTCACCTGGCTGAAGAGACGGGGTGCTTGATACCTGGAAGGAATCAACTCAATAATCCATCTGTGCTGGTTCTCCACCTGTTTATTAGTCCATCTCTAGTTATGAAAAAAACTTGCAGAGAATTTTAAATGTTTTTAAAAGAAATAGAAAAACCTGAAATCCTTGCTTAAGATATAAAACATCCCCAGAACAAATATTATAATGTCAATAAGTAGAATATAGTCAAAGTATAATTCTGGGGAGAGGCGACCTAGTGGTTAGGGCATAGAGCTTGGAATCCTGAGGTTCCAAAATAGTTAAACAATCCACTGGACTTTGTTTCCAAGTTTGAAAATATTACTCTTCCGATCCAGGCAGCTTTTTCAATTCAAAATATCAGGAATAGCGTTGAGTTCGAGGTTTTATACAGTAGCTCCTCGAACTCAAAGCTATTCCTGACATTTTGGAATGAAAAAGCTTCTTGGATGGGAAGCGAAACATCTTCAAACTTGGAAACAAAGTCCAGTCGATTGTTTGCTTTTTTTTTTTTTTTTTACTTTTTTGGAATGACTACGACCTGATTGACTGAGAATCTTCACCAAAATCCTGAGGTTCTAAGTTCGAGCCCCACTCCCCCAGACTGCCACTCTGGGTCTCTGAGCAAGACCCTTAACCCCACACTGCTCCCCGGGCGCCGCACAATGGCAGCCCACTGCTCCCCAATGGGATGGGTTAAATGCAGAGGTAAATAACTCCAATGTGAGATCAATAAAGTTCAATATTATTATTATTATTGTTATTATTTTAGATAGTGCCTGTCTAGAAGAGTATGTGTGTGTGTCATTTATTCAATTTTTGTATATTTGTCTCCTTAGAGAGTTTGAAGATGAACGAGAACCTGGCTTAGGTCTTTTAGTTACCAGCTATGTTAGTTTGAACCCACATCTACTTTTTCACTTTGCTGCATTTATTTGGCGCCACCTGTTGATCATTTTGTTTTAAAAACCTTTAAAATATCTCCCATCCATACCAGAGCCTATAAGTTTTATCCATCAGCTCAACAAACCTTCATGAGGCACCTCTAACCTGTCGGCTTCCTGGCACCGCCTCACAGAGCGAGACACTCAGCAGGACCACAGCCATTATTTCATATTAGTCCTGAGGGCAGAAACCAAAGCCACTTGCAGCACTTTCTTATTTGTTTGCTGCCCGGATCTCGGTTCACACTGCAACGTGCGCCCTGCAGCTCTCCCTGCGCTCCTATCCACCAGCGGTTCCGGGCTGCTGCTGTTTCAAACTCAGAGGTTCTGACTTTGCCTCGACTCGCCTGCACGCTTGCGCAAGCAGGGGCCAGGGGGGTCAGTGAGAGGGGGCGAGGGAGAGCGGGGCCGAAACCCAGCTGGGTGAGGGAGCAGAACGGGCCGGGATCTAATCCAGGGATTTGTCGGTATTTATTCAGCAGGACACATTAGTCTCAATGTGGCGGTACAGCACGCACTGTTCTGCTGTTGTTCAGACTAATGAAATACGTTTCTGTGGTGTGTTATTAAACAAGTTAGAGTGGGTGGCACAGTTAATGTTTGATATGTGACTCAGTCTCATTCATCAAAGAGACGGTACTCTACGGCACTTCAGGTTGTTGTTTTAGTGTCTCGCTATTTGGGCTCCGACTTTGGAGAGAAGCCGTCCGTATTAGCGTTGAAAAGCTGCGCTGACGTTCTTTAGAGAACAGCTGGAAGATGTTTGATCAGTCGCTGATTTAGTGGAGACTTGTTCTGTAAACATTGACTTTCTCCCCTTCAAGACGACAGACGTTACACTCTCACCTATTTGTTTAACCATATTTCCTAATTGCACTTAATTCCTGTTTGGGACTCCTGAACCGAGAGCTCTCCGATGATGTTTGTCTTCTTAGAACGCGTTCTGGAAAGATTTTTCCTTGTACCCAGTCAGTGGTTTTACCATCATTGGGAGGGTACTTTTCAGGGATGGAAATGAACATTTCCTTCCATTCATTCAAACCACCAAAGGGTTCTGTCAATCCATAACCAGATAGAAGCCAAGACTTGTCTTCTAAATAGCTATAAAGCACCACAATCAAGATAAAACAAGAGCATCTTATTCAAACTTTAACATTTTCAATTCAGAGTCTGGGACAGCAGTTATAAACTACCCACCATCATGGATGCCTATCTTGACTTTTCAACAGTAACTAACACTGCGTACCCAAACAGGGCTGCTGTACGACTCTGAAAGGACATTGCCGACTTTTTCTAACAAAAACACCAAAAGGATGTAATCATGATGGCTTATAAACAGTAAGATTTAAGGAACGGAGCTTTGAGCGGTTTTCCTTGCTGCAAGGTTCTCTTGTTCTGAACATTTCAGCAGAGTACTTTCTACTTGACTCGTGCACATTGCAACAACCAAAATATTTGGGTTCACTTTTTTAGATAGTTTTATGTTACGTTTGCTACTATTAAGAAGCTGGGATTTACATATTATTATCTTGTTCATTTCCCAATATGTAAAGCAAATTTTTAAATGATTTACATGGTTTTTGTTTACCAGTCCTTAAAACTTAAGGTATAAACAGTCATGCTCTAATAAAATTTATAATATTAGCTTGTATGCTGGGAGGACGGAGGCGTCCAAGAGACATCAGATGTCATACCTCAGCTGACTCCTCCTGATGTGGAAAAGAGAAGCGGCTCTACTCGCTCTTCACACTACCTCTAAAGCAGAGCCCGGCCACCTTACGGAAAGCTCATTTCAAATTTAGACAGACTTTATTGTCATTTTATACACAGAGTGTACACAAAAAGAAAATTTGTTCAGTACAGCTCGCAAGACATTTTCATTTTTTAAAGTGCAGCCGTTATAAAAGGTGAGCAGTAGTGATAAATGTAAACATACGACTATATACGAGTTAGTTTCCGACTTTTAGGGTTCTTTTCTTTTAACCCTATTTTATACAACATTAGACAGTCTAATGGCAGTTGGGAGGAAACTGTTCTGGAATCTTCTTCACCTGCATCGAATGATTCGAAGCCTCTTCGCAGAGGGCAGCAGGGAGAACAGTCCATGGTGGGGGGGTGAGGGTTCATTTATAATGTTTAACGGCTCGGGACACGCAGCGCTGGGATGAAATGTCTTTCATGGAGGGAAGAGGAGCCCCCATGATCCTCTCTGCTGTTCTCACCTTCTTCCAGTCTGAGGTGCTGCAGCCTCCACATCACACAGTGAGACGGCTGGTCAGAACGCTCTCTATGGTGCTTCTGTAGAAGGTGGTGAGGACGGGTGGGGGCAGATGGGCTTTCCTCAGCAGGAAGTACATGCGCTTTTGTGCCCTTTTTACTAGTTATGTGGTGTTTACAGTCCAGGTGAGGTTGTCTGTGATCTGCAGTAAATGTTCAGCCACTAGCATTCAGGATCTCATTGTTTCGGTCGTGATTCAGATTTAAAGATTAACCGATCAATCTCCTGCTCCACCCTCCCTCACCACCACCCCAGTCTGCCATGACAGCCCAACAACATCCAGACACCTGAGGTAATAAGGGCCGATCTCATCCACCAAGGAGTTAAATCAGCATTTTACAAACTTGTTTTTCACTAAAAAGGTTATAAAAACGTGTGGTTATAAATAACACTCTAACAGCTTAAAAAACAACCGTCTTTAGTTTGATTTGATAATCTTCTAGCCCTCTTAGTAACGACCACTCTCCTCTAATTTCATGATTAAAAGTATAGCATTTTTAGCAATAAACTAAAATAAAACATCTTTAGTACACTGGAAAAAATAGAATTCTTGATTAGTCATTGTTTTTCTTAAAAAAAGAGTGCATTTCTTCTTGAATTGAGGAGGAAAGACATTTTGCCAATGGAACAGGACAATTTACATTTAAAATGAGGAAACACAATTGCATTGTCTTGTTTAAGTGCATATTATCTAATTATCTTAGTTTTAGAGTAAAAATACTTATTGTATTGGAATATCATCTTATTTACCTACTCAAAGGCAAATACACTTAATTTAAGAAATGTTGACTTATTTCTAGATCATTTTTGCAGTGTATTTTTCTGGCACATAGTGTTTAGACGGCCTATGCAGAGATAAGGGGGTTAGAAATCTGCTAAAATCGTCTCACCCCTCTCTGCCTAAAACACATAAGACTTTATCCCTGAACCTCACCTCCAAAAAAAAAACCCTGTTAACACATATCCCAACTGCTGAGAGATCAGAGGTCCGTTGTAGGAATCAAACCCACTTCTTACGTTCGAATGTTAAACCTGCCGATGCTGCTTTTGGGTTCATCCTGTCAACCTGCATTTGAGTGGTAGCTCTCATTGCTTTGTCTTTGTTGTCTTCTAGGTGTTTTTCACCAGGAACGGGAAACTCATGGGCCGACGGGAGATGGCAGTCCCCCCTGGAGGTCTCTACCCCACAGTAGGGATGCTGAGCAGCGGCGAAAAAGTAAAGGTGGACCTGCATCCTCTGAGCGGATGAGGTTAGAGAGCGCAGGCCGGAGGACGCACCATTCAGCTGCATGCACGCACATCCTACTCTGCACTGCACCGGATTTCATTTATAAAACTATTCATGGCAGTAATAACAGACCAGCAGTTCTGCAGCTGTACAGTGTCAGAGCAAGCTGCAGGCAGCAGGAGACTTCAAACGGTTAATTCTATGCAATCTGCACTGCTATCATCCTCTAATGTGTCCCTCTGCATGCACTTTGTCTTCCCTCATGAGGTCCGGCACGTTGCTTTATTTTCACTTGTCTAGACCCCAAGCTAAGCAGAGAGGCCAGCGTTTGTTTCAGGGAGGACCTCCTCCCTGCTTCCCGGTCCTCCCTCTGGGCGAGGCTGCCCTCCTCTGAGCGGCCGGGGACCTCACACACCGCTCTCCTAGAGCCGGCTGGGAGTCAGCCGTGGGGCTCCTTTGTTTCTCCAGAAAGGCAGCCTCTTGCAACATTTTCCCCAGATCATTATTTAGAAATAAACAGGTATTTGAAGCGTCTGCTGAGCAGTATCGTGTCACATATCTTGCAAAGCTTAATTTAAAGAGACAAAAAAAGGGTTTTAGATACATGTTCTTATTGTTTTTACAACTCATCGTTCAAAAGAGGATATTTAAATTAATGAATCCTGTTCAGGGAATATGTGTGTATTTTAGGACTTTGTGAAGTTGAAATACAGAAACTTGGGCTTTATATTCTGGATCCAAATTGTGAGCAAGGACAGAAATTCTAAGATCCAGTCCAACATTAAGGTATTCCTTTATGCAACTAACAAAAATAGAAAAGAAAAAACTTGAAAGTCAAAAAGTAAAAGTTTACAGTTCTCTTTAATGTTTGGAAAGAAGCAAAAAGTGAAGTAAACCAACTTAAAATAAACATGTAGTTTTTCTTCCTGAAAGTTTCAATCAGTCTGCCCAAACATCCTGCATCCATTCTCGTTCTGCAGAGACCTCGTTACGAACCAATGAACTCATTCTGGTGCGTTCCAGAAGGGATGCATCTAAACGTTCCAGCCTGGCAGCACTATGGCTTCGTATCACAAAGTTCAGGTTCTCCCTTTAGTTCATTTCTAGCAATTTTATGGATTAAATTCTTCCAGTCTGATATTTGACTCATCAGATCCAGTATCAGACCAGTACTGGTGTCTTTTAAGCATCGGGTGTCAGACGGAGAGCACCAACTGTGGTTCTCTGATGCCGCAAAGCTCCAGAATTTAGCACAAAAAGTAAGAAACATTGTGACATCTCAAATCGTTAGAAATTGTTTATTTCCGAATAATTTGTGGAGTTCAACAGAGAGAAGACTGGAAAAAAATCATTTTTTATTTATATTTTCATTCTTAAATGACACGTCACGTTAAATTGAGTCCCGAACCTGCCAGAGGGACAAATCATTTCAGGTTTAACATCCCAAAAAAAACAAACAAATCCACTAGAGCAGTGATAAATAAAAACCAGTGAAATATTTGAGCTGGTAGGACTGTATTAAACTCAGCTGAACTGCGTGAGCGTCATGAGGTGAACTGAGGACATTTAACAGAGGAGCCAACTCTGCCGACTCGATTACTTCAGACGGCTTCATCCAAAGTTCAGCGACTGTGACCACAGATGCTCCACGGCCTCGGGCCTCCGGTCGTGTCTCTGATACAAATGATGCTGCTGCTGCAGGAGGACATCAACCCTCACTGTAATTGATGATGGAGCATAGATTCAGCCCTGCATCGTTCTGAGTGGGAAGAGCGACCCATAGTCTGGTGATTGTTCAATGATAACAGAAGGTTGGTTACCAGCTGCGTTTTATGCTGCTGGGTGAACTGAGTTGATCTGAAAGTTGTGATGCAGACAAGAAAAAAATGTTTAAGGAGAAATACTCATCGGTTTGTTGGAGCTGGTTTCCATGTAACTGAAAAGGATCTATTTCAATGAATAAAATCCCACATAAAATACTTTGCAAAGGTTCTTCACAAACTTTAACAGATTTTTTTTTTAAGAAATACCAACAGTTTACTGAATAATAATATTTTTGTTTTAAAGAAGTGAAAATCTGAAACTTGTGGTTGCATTTGTGTCTCACCTCATTCAGAACTTCTCCAAATCAGTCATTTTTCATCCCCCTGCTCTGCATTTTTTAGACCCCAGTTCAACACACCTGCTTCAAGGACAGAACAGAACATACCGAACCCGATTCTGCATCCGATCAGACTGAAAATCGCGTCGGACGAGGTCGTGGCATTTAGTTCCTTATTGAGAGTCAATGAGTATGATCACACCCGACATGATTTTCTGCAAGGAGGCTTGCGTAGCTCTGACTTTGATAGACCCCAGGTCTGTTTTAGTCAGACTACGCAGCGATTGAGCGGTAATTTTAGTCTGACTGGAAGAGAGACGAGGTTACAAAGTAAAACACATCTGCTTTGGGGGAAAATACAAAATAAAATCTGTTCATTGCAAAGGGAAAGATATGGCAAGCGGGACACTCCTGCAAAAGCAATGAATGAAACATTAAAAATAGAATACTTCACTCATGATAGGAATTCAGGAGGACAGAAAACGGATAAAGTAGTGAACCTTTTTGAGCCCTGCAAAAAACAGGGACAGAAAGCACAGTTTATCCATCTCCTCGAAAAAAATAAAAAAAATGAATTCAGGAGGACAAAAAATGGATATAGTAAAATAGTGATCCTCTTTAAGCATCACCAAAAACAAAATAATGAGGGGGAGACAGGGCAGTAAGCGAAGCTCTTCACTCTCCCCTTTTAATGGAAAAAAAACTTTGATAAACTTCCAAGATCGGTCTCTGAGAATCCTGCCTCAGTCAACATATAATTTTTCGTTTCTTTAGACGTGGTTCTCATTATGTTTTTAACATAGACCTATAAAAATTCTCTGTCTGTTCTGGTTAGAGATGCTGCACAGACTCATTAAGTGGGGATTTGCTTTATTCGTTAATTTTTAATAACTTTTCATAATCTATCAAAGTCAATTGTGGGAAATCGTTTTCACAGAAGTGAAAAAAAAAATCTGCCCAGATCTGCCAGCCCTGCCTAGTCGGAGCCGCTCTACACGCAGTCAGTGTGACATAGAAAATAATTGATTCGGTGACTAAAAAGTCGTACATAACCGTTTTGTTCAGGCCTTCAGATGATTGCTGCTCAGCAAGTGCCTCTTAATCAGTCATCAGCTGAAAGCAGGTCTGATGAAGCAGGGAAACATCTAGAACATGCAGGGCTGTGTGCCTGGAGGACCAAGGTTGGAAAACACTGATCTAAATGGAGTCCATCTGCTTGTAATTAATCTCTGTCTAAATCCAGTTGTTCTGTTTCTGGCCTCAGAGGTTTGTTAGAAAACATTAGGGAACAAACAGCATCGTGAGGACCAGGGAACACGGCGGACCGTTATGCTCTCCCCATAAATCTCAGCTCCAGGGAAGGAAGAAGAACGTCATAAGCCGTCCGTCTTTGCAGATCGCCGCAAGCGATCAAATTAGAGCAAAATCTAACTCTGTGGTCTGCTTGTAAAACTGTTGGTTGGAAACACAGCAGAGGCTTTTCTCTCATCAGGGACAGGAAGGATGAGAAGAGGGATGGAAAGAAATCCGTCAGAATGAGACCTAAAAGTGAGAGCGGCCGGTACTAGAACACAACATTACTTATTATTTACCCTCTGAGTCAGACGTTTAAAATAAGTCAAGCCCATAACGATATAAACAACCTACTGACTGAGCTTGTGCTCTGAGAAGGTTGCAAGAACACTGTTTGATCCCCACAGCCTCCACTCTGGGTTCCCTAAGCAAGGCCTTTAACCCCTGATTGCTCCCTGGGTGCCCCACAATGGCAGCCCACTGCTCCCCAAGGGGATGGGTCAAAATGCAGAGAACGAATTCCCCCATGGTGGGACAATAAAGGGAATTACATTTACATTTAAATAAGTTAATCAGAAACGTGGCCTTGCATCAGAGGTTTCCAACCTATTGGACACCTATATATTAATTGTCCTGTAGGGCCACAAACACAACATTAAACAATAAAATGCAAAATACAGTTTATTTTTGTTTGTTCTCATTTTGATTTTACCTGCAATTATCTATTCTAGATGCATACTACTTTTAAGGATAAAGTTCTGAATAACTTTTATTGAAAAATGAAGAACAAAGGCTTTATTAAAGGCAAGAAACTATGGAGGACCAACTCTGCCATATTTAAAAATAAATACAGAAATAAATAAATGCTCAATAAAAAGGGCAGGCAGAAGTAAATAGCAGCGAAGAAATAACTAGGGTAAAAAAATACAAAGGAAGAATAAAACAGACAAAAATATAACATGCACATAAATAAATACTTAAAAATAAAAATAAAGAATAAAGTTGAAAATTATAAAGGACAAAAAAATAAATAAGGTAAATATTACAAAGGCAAATAAATAAAGAAGTTAATTAAAAGAGATATACATTTGTCTCACTGTATAATTTAATTTCTACTTACATTTATATGTTGTTTGTATTTTGGTGGCAATTAATTGTATGCTTATTTATTTATTTCTGTATTTATTTTTAAATAGGGCAGAGTTGGTCCTTCATAAGAAACAAAAATCTACTGAAAATATGTTTAACATTTTCAATATTGGGAGGATTTCCATCCGTTTCCTTAAATCATTGCCTGATTCTTTTTTTTAATGTTCATCAGCATCAGTTTCCTCTGCTACAGGCCCAAATTGTATCATTTTTAACCCGTTTACTGCCCACGGGTCACACTGTGGGCAGCAAACTGCCTTACATGTCAAATTTGACCCCTGACATGATACAAGAGAATAATGGGTATCCCAGAAGGCTTTTTAGCTTTCTTTTCAGGAAAAGATGTTTCAAACACAAATGCATGCCACACTTTTCAGATTTTATGTACTAAACAAAACAAAAATCCAAAGATTCCCTTCCCTCCCGCTTCTTAATTGTCCACCAGTTTGTGTTGGTCTATAACAACAAAATGTGAATAGAATATAAAGTTTAATGGTTTTATCAAAATATAGGGAAGTTAAAGGGGCGTGAATACTTTTTACTCAGCAGCTTTCCGTTGAGCCAGCATGTACACAAAACAACCCAATGCAACCACAAATGTGATGTAAAACTTGTGCACAGGGTAACTCTTAAATCATGTCTGCTGGTTTCTGTGAGTTTTTAAGCTGTAATGTCTTGATTTTCTTAGAAAACAAAATAATAAGCTGAGCTTATGTCAGTTTTGTTCTCCTGCAGGACAAAATTAAGAACATGTCAACATCACAGTGAGATAAACGAGGCGCAGATGTGGGAAAAATCTGCTGCATCTCAGTTCAGGGTTTCTCACTTAACTCCAAAAACAGGAAAAAATCACCAAAAAAAGTTCCTCCGGTTAGAGCTAAACTTGATTTTAGTTCATGTTTCCAAATGCAGTCAATGCTGTTTTCATATGCTATCATTATTTCTGCCTTGTTGAATTGCACTATATCCTTCACATGATCATAAATAAAAGTTTTATTCCGAATTGTGGATTCTTTCCATTTTTGCTCCAAATGTGATTATTCTACTCAGGTAACATATCATTTTAAAACTTTAGTATCTTTTGTTATCTTTGGTTTATTCTTAAAAAAATTATTTACCTTTCTTCTTTTTGATTGTGATTGAATTCAGTTCAATTTAAAAAAATCATTATTAACCTAAAAGGGAAAGTAGATAAAGAGGGATGGGGTTACTGTTGTCTCTTGTTTAAAAGGATAAATGAGTGACTAACCAAAGCTGATGATGCTGTCTTTCATAAGGTGATGCATGCAGTGGATTCCCTGAGCAAAGACCCACACTGATCCCTGGACGCTGCACAATGGCAGCCCACTGCTCCTCAAGAGGATGGGTTAAATGCAGAGAGTTCATTTCGTTGCTCTCTACGTGTGACAGTGGAATGACAATAAAAGAAAACAAAAAATGTAGCATGGTTTAAAGTCGTAGGGAAGCGGCTGTTACAAAGGTTGCGGTTCTGAATTCTCCCGAGTGGAGCACGAATTTACACGAGTGAATAAAATGAGTGGTCGATTATCAAGAGGGCAGGATTGTTGTAGTGGAAGGTTCGCAAGCAAGTTTGATTGTGGCCGATGTCTCGGAAGCCATCTTAGCACTAGTAGGTTCCCAATGGGAAATTACATTGGTACTAAGTAGCAGTAAATTGGTGACTTAGAAACAACACTGTCAAGGAACGCTATGGACAGCAAAAACATGCAAGAGGAGGAGAGTTTTGTGTCCGAGGTCGTGGATGAGTCTCCTCCATCATACATTTTTACTTAGAGGAGGAAAGCGGGGACTAACATGTTGTGAAAGAGGACGCCAGGGCGGCAGAAGCTTGGTTTGGTGTAGAAGGCTTCCAGGCGTACATGTTTGAGCCCTCGCCTCGCAACGCTGCCAGTTCTGTTAGCTCTACGCCTGCTGAAGACACAGACGTCCATCCCCGTGAACACTGGGACGGAACTCAATGGTAAAGTAAATTATTATTTCTTATTTAAACCGTTGTGTATATTAGCTGCAAGATATGAATCAATATGCAATGACTGAATAAATGTGATTGATAGATGACCGTTGATATATGATTGGCAGAATTTAGGTGTTCAGGCTGACGTATAACTAACTGGCCTGCATAAGATAACAAATAAAAAAACAGATTTTAAGACAGGATTTTTTTTTTTTTATATGAATTTGCTAACTTTTGGGACAAGTTGGTCTGATAAAGAGTACATTTATAAACATGTTTAAGCCAGAATGATTTGACATTTAAATAGGACTTCCCTGCGACTTTAAGGATAAGAAAACCCCAACATTTAATGTCTATGAAAATTAAAATATCACATTAGAACATTGAAAAATGAATATCTTAAACAAAAATGTTCACTTATTAATAGTATGCTCATTTCTAAATACTTAGTTTGGGTCCTTTTGCATAAACTCCATGCCATGGTCACTGGCAGCTTTGCGTACCTTTGCCAGAGTAGGTTGGTACCAAGTCCTGCTGGAAACAAATAATCTGAATCTCAATAAAGCTTGTTAATATAAAGAAGCAGGAAGTAGACAAAAAAATACCTGCTTGATGATGTAAACTGGGGATCTCAGGAAACCCAGCAGACTGCTCATCTCTTCCTCCAGATTTCAGTAAAATTAAAACTTAGTCACACACCCAAACCCCCAACTGGGTTTTTTCCCCCCCCAGGACTGTTATCCTAATCACTTGTGCACTTTACTAGTGTTTTTCCTTCCACTTAACTTTCCATTTGGTTTAGATAGCAAGTTGAAAAGCAATCTGCTTTTTGGCCTGTTGTGGCTGACCCTGCCTGTGGAGGTCAATTACAGACTGCTGGACAACATTTTATTCCTCTGAGAGAAAGAGGCCTAATAAAGGTAGAGGAGTGGTTTGACACGAGGAATATATGCAATCCATGTGTAGGATCCCTCTGTGCCCAGTGGTCAGTGATGCTTCAGAATGAAGCCTGCCAAAAATTCTTGGATGGTTTTTGCTTCAAAGCCCCTCAAAGCTACAGTTACCCCAATTATTTATATTTTATTTTAATTCAATTCAATTCAGTTTATTTATATAGCGCCAAATTCACAACACACTTCATCTCAAGGCGCTTTACAGTTCAACCAGATCATACAGTCAAATTGATACAAAGTTTTCTATCTAAGGAAATTTTACACCTTTTCCTTCCACTCAGCTTTCTATAAACATAGCTCAGCATTTTCACTATATTCCCATTTTAACACCTGTAAGCCATAACAATGAAAAGCACAAGAATGGAATGCTTAATGTTTTGTACTATATTTAAGAAATATATAAGTTTACTCTCTGACACATGACCTCAAATACTGAACTTATAACTTTTTCTGTTTGTAATTAAATATTTAACACACCTTATACATCTTACATATATAGGCAGAGTCTCTTAAGGTAAACACGAATCAGCATGCTGAGGTGTAGATTTGATGTGTGAACTCCAGCAGGGAGAACTAGACTCTTCAAAAACTTATTTTCTGGTTTCATTGCTTATTTGTGACAGAACCACACAGGAGGTATTGCAGTGATGGGATCACTGCAGGCTAAATATTACTGCTGGTGTTATAAGTCAGGGTTACAGATTCAAGTGGCGAGTAAATGACTCCACAATTAATATATTGTTATCTTTGACAGACTCTGCATTAGATTTATTCATGTTTCATGACATTCATTGTTTCACGACATCCTGTAAAATATTTGACACTATGGATATTAATTGTTCTTCTATGCCTATAAATAAATTAAAAGGATTTGGATCAGAGTAAAACAAATCAGTTGTTACTTATAGCTCTAATGAGCAATTTGTAGTATCTGGTGACATCTAGTGGTCAGCTTCAAGATTGCAATAATTTTCAAAGGAGACCAACAAAAGAGGGCAACAAATAAAAACCAAAGAACAAATAAAAACCAAAGAACTCTTATATACTCATATATCCAGGAGCAAAAAAAAATACAACAAAATATGAATTAAACCAATAAAACTAGAAAACATGGAGCAAAGTAAAGCATAACAGAACCAAGACCATGACACAGATAAAAACCTTTAGATGAATTAAACATTACCCGAAACATATCTGACTCAATAACCATTAAAACAACTATTTTTTATAAATTTCAGACGGAACTATTCACATACTTATATTAAACTGAACTTCCAACATTCACCACTGTTCAGTGCCAAGCACCTTTTTCCTCTGATCATGGTGCAGCCGGTTTGCTTGGTCTTGCAATGAATCATGGGATATCCAAGGCTACGTAGGATACACCAGACCCGTCCTTCAAATCAGGCGAAAAGAACGACGCATTTGTCGGCCACATAACGAGGAGTCTTGGAATCCGAACAGACCTCGGCGCAAAGCTATGATGTAATCGGCCCATGAATCTGGCCTTCGGAGGACGCAGACCCTGAATTCAAATTCTGCCCTAATTTCAATTAATGATTGGTTACAATTTAGAAAACATCTTTTAATCATACAAATGGTGTAGTTTGAAGTAGAGAAATGTCTAATTGTGCATTAAGACCGAAGTATTTACACAGGTATTTACACAATGGACTGTGTCATCAAATTTGGAGGAGCTTCAGCTAAGCAAAGCTGACACAACCCACCAACATGAAATATAGTCAGAAAATAGACTGAATGGTTATTGCTTCATTAGTGCAGGTTTGTGCATTTAAAATTTTCATTTATTAAAATAAAGATCATGTGTGCTACAGTTTCAGAGGTATTGAGTATTTTTAGATCCAGAGATCAAATATCCCCCCATTAAGCTTAGAATTGAATAAAAAATCATCTACTTTTTCAGTGCTACTTGATTTGTGTGGGTAGAACCGTTGTTCGTGCTGAGTTGGAATAATTTTGACCGATGACGTCACCATCCCAGCAGATGTTAGAGATAGCTCTAGATAATCGGAGACACTCTATAAGCTTTATCAAAAAGGACAGTTTTAAGACACCTGAAAAATAGACGGGGTGTCTTTCTCACAGACTAAAACAGTAGTTGGTTCTACAGAACAGGGGCCTGATAACTTAAAGATCTGCCTCTCATTCTACTTAAATTCTTGGAACCACTTGAAAACCTGCAGGTTGAGAATGAATTACTCTGTTAGGAACACAAGAAATAATCATATCTCTGATATAAGACACAGCTTGGCCATTTAAGGCTTTATATGTGAGAAGAAGCATTTTAAATTCTATTCTGGATTTAACAGGAAGCCAGTGAAGACAAACTAGGATAGAAGAGATATCTCTTTAATTTTCTTCAGAACTCTGGCTGCAGCATTTTGGATCAGCTGGAGCTTTTAACTACATTCCAAAAAAGATACAAAAGTTAAAAAACAAACCACTGGACTTTTTCCATGTTTGAAGACGTTTCGCTTCTCATCCAGGAAGCTTTCTCAAATCAAACGTCTGGAGTAACGTTTGGGTTCCAGGGTAACAAATAGCAAACTTGGGTTGCCAAGAGTGCAGAGCTTGGCAGCATTTTGTTGTGTGTTGATACCCACAAGACTAGAATAAAACCCTCAGCCAACAGGTAAATAAAAAAATAAAATAAAAAAGACTTCGCAAAAGGATCAACAATGACAGTAGAAGACAAACATATCCTGGTTCTGATTTTGGGCTTCTAGAAATTAGATTAGAGCAACCATTAATCATCCAGAAAAAGCAAATTTTTTCAACAATTCAGGAATAATTGGGTGTTCACTAGTGTTGCACCAATGCCATTTTTTGGCCCCAATACCGATACCTGGCTGTGCAGTATTGGCCGATACCATAAGTTTGAAATTGATGTGTGTGTATAGGAAGAACTACATACTACTTGGATAAAAAAAAAATAACTGCCATCATGGCTTTGTCAAGCTGCTGCCTACATATGTGAAGCAGGAAAACGACTAATACAAAGTGAATCCAGTAGAACTTTTTATTGCCTACTTAGAATGGGTGACAATAGTTGAATAAACTTTTGGCTCTCAAAATGGTATCGGTGCCCTATTTGTCAGTACTCGCTGATAAGGATACCACCTTTGCAACATCCACACCTGTTGACCTGTGGATTTCACAGCACAATGGAGCCCCGTGTTACAATGCACAAAGTATTGGACCAGTGTTCAGTTAAAAAAAAAAACAATGTTAGGCCCATTGAGAACCTTTGGTCAGCTCTCTAAAACCAGAAGGAGACAACCCCAAGCTGAAAGAAGACAATAAGCCACCATCACTTGTTCACTTTACTACCTAACCTTCCATTATGTTTAGATGGCAAGTTGAAAAGAAATTTTCTTTTGGGCCTGTTGTGGCTGACCCTGCCTGTGGAGGTCAATTACAGACTGCTGGACAAGTCGTCATCCATGATGCTGCTCTGGCCAGGTTATCAATCCATCCATTTTCCTTCACGCTTATTCCTCCTGGGGTCGCAAGCGGTGCTGCTGCTCATCTTCAGCTGTCAAGGGGCGAGAGGCCGAGTACACCCTGGACAGGATGTCAGTCTATCACAGGGCAACAGAGACAACAGGACATACAACCATTCACGCACTCACACCTAAAGAGAATCTTAGAGAAGCCAATTAACCTAACAGTCCAGTTTTCGGCCTCCTTCCAGTGTTTGCACAGTGAGAACATGCAAACTCCATGCAGGAAGACCCCAGGCCGGGAATCGAACCCAGAACCTGCAAGGCAGCAGTGTTACCCACTGCACAGCCCTGGCCAAGTTATATTTTTTAATAATTGAGATGGGAACCTAGGGATTTCTCTAGATGTAGGTCAGGCAAAAATAGTAAATCTAATAAGTATAGTTTATATGATTTTTTTCAAACTACATTGAAGATGTCTGTAATGTTTTGTACACTAGAGGTCGCTGTCTGAATGCTGGTTAAAATATGTAGTGCGTTTGGAGATCCACAAATACAATCTTCACATTTCTCCTTTGCAGCAAGAAGTTACCATTTATAATGTGCAGAAAATGCTATAATTTCTGTTCAAAAAAAAAAAAAAAAAAAAAAGTTCAAATTTTTGTGAATGTTTGAATGATTTAAAGTTTTTAGATTTTAATCAATACTCAACAGGACAAAAGTTTGTATATAACAATTTATTAAACAGCGGCTGGGGAAGCGTTTTCCTTCCCTGGCTTTAAAAAACAAACCATTACATCCGGTTCTAAATCTTTAACATGGAAACAAAGATTCAAAGTGATGAAAGTCAAAGACTACATGAAAAACTGGAAAAGGTTCATCTCTAAAAAATAGTTGAACCTGACTGGATGGATCCAGGAGCGAGTTTGCTAAAGCTTTACCTCCCCCTCTTTAGAAATGCCTCGTTTCAAATCCATTAAAACCTAAAAGAGACAGAAGTTGCGCTAGGCTGCTATAATAAGACCTGGCAGAGCTAACAGAGCAGTTTGACGCGGATTAAAAAACAGTTAATAGAAACAAGTTGTCCAGAAGGTCTTTTCTCAGAGTCCCAGAAAAAAAATATATATATTTATCGCACTAGTAACAATTTTATTCAGAATTTAAAAACACAGAAAAATGACTCCAGTCATAACAGATTTCTTATAAAAACTGACTTAATGGCTTAAAGTGGTTCAGACTGTTCACTGAGGCACATGAAGAGCTCAATAGGACACCGTCCTTTTAAAAAAAAAAAAACAAGCAGGAATGCTCAGAGGAAGAAGTCCTGACAAGCTAAGAATTTGCTCTATACATTCTCCTCCTCTTCCTCCTCCTCATAGTATCTGTTTCGCTTGATCATCTCCTCCACGCTCAGCGCCTCCTGCTCCTCCTGTTTGTCGTCGACCTCGTCGCTGTCCCAGAAGCCCACGTCCTGTGATGATCGGCTGGCCTCCACCTCCTCCTCAGGAGAGGGGATGGCTGTTGGTTCTGCTGGGCTCTCCTGACTCTCCAGGGGAACCTTGTCCTCCTCTTCCTCCTCCTCCATCTGCTCCACCTCATCCTCAGCTGTGTCACTCTTCATCTCCCCCTCCTCTCCAGAACTGCTCTGCACATCCACACAGCTATCTTCAGGGCTGTCCTGTTGCTGCTGCTTCTTACTGGAGGCCTCAGGCTCAAGCTGTTCCTCCTCCTCAGCAGGAGAACTCCATCTCCCGTCAGCTTGTGCTGCCTGTGAGAAGGCGACGCTGCGCTCCTTCAGGGAGGAGCTCTGAAGCAGAGAAGGAGAGCCTCTGTTCAGCTCTGTGGGAGAGGATGGAGATTCGTCCTCTGGGGGCCACTTGGCTTTGATGGGTTTAGTGGCGGAGCCCCCGTCTGCGGCCCCGCTGCGGCTGGGTGTGTCCTCCGGCTCCGTTCGTGGGGGCCAGGAGATCTTCAGCCGTCTGGTCTCAGCTGGTTTATCCGTCTTCTCTGGTGTCGCCTGTCCTAGAGCCTCCATGGTGGCAGTCAGGACGAGCACTTTGGCCAGCGGGGAGTCCTCCACGCTGGGGCTGTCCTGGTCTGAGGGTGGGCTCTGGACCTTTGGCTTGGTCCCAGAGCCGGACTCGGGGGAGGTCTCCTCTCCCTCACCTTTGCTCTCCCACAGCTCTTTGTGAGGCCGGAGGCCGAAGCCCTCATCGTAGTTTCCTTTGGCCTTAAAAAGCTGACAGAAGTGAGGTTTGCAGTAGATGTTGCTGTGCAGGGAGGCATAATTCACCAAACTGACAGGACAGAAAAAAAGCCAAGTTTAGAGTCAAAAACTGATTAAAAAAAAAAAAAAAAACAGGTTTTCACATTGCTTAATTTATTCCCTATAAATTTGTTTTAGGTTTTGCGTTGCTCACAATTTGTCATGAAAAATAAAACGTTTTTTTATTTCATAAAATTAAACTTATTCCAAAGCTTTTAAGACCTTAGTCATTGGTCTGTTGACGCTTACAGGGAGTGAAAACTTCTCAGAAAATTGAAAGATTGTGTGAACGCCACAGCACATTTATAGAAAGTTGAGTGGAAGGAGAAAGGACCAACAGCAGGGAAGATCATGGCTCTGAGACTGGAGCAAAATTTTACTCAGATTTCAGGTGAGCTTCACAAAGATAAGAGGCATAAAGCTCCGACTGAAGCTTCTATATACAAACAATCCTAAACATGGGCTCCAACTTATCTGGGCTAGAAGAACAAACTACTGGACTGTTGCTTAGGGGTCAAAATTCCTCTTTTCAGATAAATATAATTTAGATCTTTTAGTTGTTTAATGTTAACCATGCTCCAGGTTGCAGAATCAGAGATTTTTAAACTTTTTCTCCTCCCCTCTTGCAAACAAATGTTTGAACAAAAGTTTCACTGTATAACGATGTACTTTAGCTAGCTTGGAAAGTGTTACAACCCTTTCCAGATTGATAAGCTGCAATAGCTGTTCACAATGCACTGAAAAGCAACCTAGAAGCAGCAGCATTTTAGCCTAGCCTACAGGATAAAAATAAATTTTCTGGTCAAACATCCCCATTTCTGTAGCACGTTAAATTACCACCTGCTGTCCAGACCTTTGGTTCAGTCAGTCCGCAGGGTTTTTACCTCAGTTTGGTGTTGCAGTGTGAGCAGCGGAAGCATGAGCTGTGGTACACGTCCTTGTTGGCCACCAGCCTCTCCAGAGGATAAACAGTCTTCTGACACGACACACAGGTCTCCCTCACAGGCAGGTGGAAGCTCTGCACACAAAAAACATCCCTCCATTAATGCCCCCTCAGCAGGACAGACGGGATTCATGAGCCAGAGGAGCACAAGTGGACTCACCTTGGGGGTCTTTGAATGAGAGGAGTCTTTCTGACTGGAGGACGGAGTCCCAGGACCAGAGCCTGAAGGAACAAATAGTTTATTAATAAGATAAGTGAGAAAGTGATCCCCAGGGGGCGGGGCTTTCATGATCAAAGAGTTCCATTCATTGTTGGTCAAGAAAAAAAAAAAAGAAAGCCAGTTTAAGGGGTTTAGAATTTGCAACATCACTTTAAGCCCAACAGAAGGATTTACCGTTGCTCTCCGAGGTAAAGACTCTCCTGCTGTTTGGTTCAGACTCTGGACTCTGAAAAAAAAAAAATCTGTTAAAACATGATCACAAAAAACAAACAGAAAGAAAAACAAACGAAAAAAAAAAAACCAAACGTGTTCAGATGAGCCTTTGGAATAGAGCGTAAAGAAAAACCATCCCCTGTGCATGAGAGGAGTAACAAAGCAAAGCCACTGAGAGGCCAAAGCATGAAGAAGAGATTGAAATCTCACCATTTCCAGAGAACAAGGAGGGACGTTCTCTTTCTGTTTTCCACAGAACCCGTCCAGTTGATCGCCCTAAAGGAAACGCCAGAGGAGAGAAAAATCTGGTTTTCAGACGGCCTGCAGTTTAGATTTCTAAAGTCATAAAGCATGAGCTTCATACAGAACATGACATTTACTTAAACATAGGAAAACAAACCTAGTCAAAAAAAAAAAAAAACAAAAGGGCGGGGTTTTTTTTTTTTTTTGCAAAAAAAAAAAAAAA